TGTTTTTTGGAAATGTTATTTATTTTGTTTATAATTGACAAATTAGTGGGCAGTAAGTTAAAATAGACATGTGTAATATTATTTTTGTTAGGAAAATAATGAGAAGTAATTGTTGACTTTATATAGAGTGTAAGTATACGTACAGTAATATTATTTTGATGCTTCACAACTTTCTTAATCAAATTATACACAATAATCCGTCCTGATACTTTAGTGGGTATGTCAAGTCTCATTCATCTCGTCTATTCTTAAACTTATACGGTGTATTAATTATGTATTCGTAACCATTAACAATAAAAACAGTAGCAAGTAAGTGTAAAAATATAGAACGGATAATATTCTCATATCTACAGTATTAATCATCTATCTTATAGCGGGTAAGAGAATTTCTTTTACATGAATTAAAGGAATTATTATTATATAGTTAATGATAAGCTAATCTAGCGTACTTATTAAATCATAGACAATTTTGGTGTAGACAGTAAGTAGAAAGAATATACTTTCGTTATTTTTTTCTAATACATGAAAAATAAATGTATTCTTTTCTTGTTATATTCTTTACTTTAACTACGATTACAGACCGTAAGCATATTTTAATTAAATAATTCATATCATTGATGTTTTAATTATAAATTTGCCGCAATTAAATTACTATGACGCAATTGTGACGAAATCATGTGATTTGCCGCAATTATGCTTATATCTTTCTTTTAATCCCCTCTTATTTTTAAATATTAAATATTGTAGAAAGTAAGTTGATTTATAATATCATCGTACGAGTTGCTTGTAAAGCAATTTTAGTAACCATATGTCGATTATAACTAATTATCATTTCACGGAATTCAGGTAAATTTGACATCGTAAATTTTTATAAATGAATTTTTAGGTTATAAAAGTTGTAATGAGCATAATTTCACTTCAATATTTGTCGTACATTTTTTTTGATAAAATTAACTTAAATTATTATACATTATAGACAGTAAGTTATACCCTGTAAGCTGCGTCTTTATCTTACAAATTCATATAAAAAATTTTGATCACGCATTGATATTGGTTTTAGTCTGTAAGTTAAACACAATTTAAATATATCTTTGTTTTTTCATAAAATTGTGTGAAAATAATTAATTATGTTACTGTCGGTTTAAGTCGGTAAGTTAAACACATTTAGATATGTATACTTATGAATTTACGCGGAAATGGTTAAGTCCTTTCCTTTACATTACAGAAAGTAAGTTAAACTTTGTTATCTATCTCCGTAAATTTATGTGAAAGACTCATTACTACTGTATATTGATTTATTAACTTTATAGAGGGTAAGTTAAGTTCACAATATCTTCATAAATTTTCTCATAATTATATTTTAAAAACAATTATTGTAAATCGCAAACGGTTTCTTAATCAATACAGTTGTATGTAAGTTAAAGTCAGCAATCTATCGTTACTTTGTTTTAAGTTAAATTTTTCATTTTTGTTCGTGATATTCTAGATCGTAAGTATATTCCGCATAAGTTCATTTGTTTGTTTTTTACACGAAGTATTTTAATTGTGTTTATAATTATTAATTTTTGCAGAGGGCAAGTAAGACCCTTATTATTATTTGTATTTACAAATCTATAGTTTAATTATATACATAGTATGTATTTCGTTGCAGATGGTAAGTCAAATTCGTATAATCTGTCGACTTTATGTAACTCGTTAATGTTAATTAATTTCTATTCTTATTTAGTGAATAGTAAGTGAATTTCATACGTATTTGTTGATTTTCGAAGTCTTTAGCAAATTAATTTTATTGCGTCATTGCAATTAGTTAATTTTGTAGAAAGTAAGTTGAATTCATTATATATTTATTGTACTGTATACATTGAAAAGTGGTCTAATAAACTCTACTTGTTATAATTAATATACAACTATTTTGTAGCAGGTAATATAGTGAGGCCCATTCCATTATCTGTTTGTAAATTTATAGTGATTTTTTAATTATTTAAAATTTAGATGGTAAGTTTAATCCTCAAAGTACTTTCTATTTGTGTTTTAAGAATACCTTGAAAAATGAATAACTTATTTACGTAAACATTTTTCATTGTAGACGGTAAGAATGTCTAGGCAAATTTTCACTCAATAAAAAAATTTAATCGTATTTTTACTTATAAATTATAGAATGTAAGTGAAACAAAACAATATCAATCTTCATTTCGAACATCCGTAAGGAATACTTATATTAATAACGTAAATTTTGTAGGGGGTGAGCTATTTTGGTAATACTTCATTATTTTAAAATTTATGCGTATAATATTTAATTGAATTCTTAAATACTATAGACAGTAAGTTAAATCTTGAAAATTGATACTGTATTTGCTCTATTATTAAATGTGTATCTAATATAATATTAATCATTGGCTTTATAGCGTGTAAGTTGCATTCAATTATTCTTTTTTAAAATTTACAAAAATGTTCTAATAACAATCATTTTTATCACTATAGATGGTAAATAAACATACTTTATTCGTGCTATTGCTGTGCAATTCATGAAATATGTTATTATTATAGGGGAAATATGCAATCAGTGCAAGAAAAAAACAACAACTTCATTTTGGTGCCAACCGTGCAATTCTTCACGATTTCAGCAAGAGTTTGATAGTTGGAGAAGTGGGAATAGAGAAATTGATGCATTCGTAAAAGAGACTCAATTAAGAGCTACGGATAATTATAAAATACTCGAATGGATTCCGTATTCAAAATTCAAAGAAGTGACATTTATTGCTAAAGGCGGCTTTGCAGATGTATACTCGGCTGAATGGTCCGAAGGAAATATCATTTGGAATACTAAAAATAATCAATGGAAAAGAAGAGGAACTATGAAGGTTGCACTAAAATGTCTGAATAATTCACAATACATCTCCAACGAATTCTTAGATGAGGTAAATTATATTTAATTAAAAAAGTTAAACTTGCTTCTTCAACATGTTTAATTAATACGTAATGATTATTCTTTATTAAAATATAAATTTAATTAGATAAAAAATTTTCGTAATTTTAGTGGCAATGAATCTCGCATTACTCGGTGTTATGGAGTTACTCGGCACGATGAGACAAATAATTTAATGATAGTCATGAAGTTCGTTTCTTTTGGAAATGTTAGGAATAATTTGTCTAAATTCTGCGAAATGTCCTGGATTGACAAATTCAAGAGTTTATTTCGAATTGCAAGAGGGTTGCACCAAATCCACGAAGCCAAACTTGTTCATCGAGATCTTCATACTGGAAACATTCTTTTATCCGAAGGAAATCTGCTTTATGTAACGAACTTAGGTCTATGTAAACCGATCGAACAATATGCCAGCAATATAACTGAGAAGAAAAAAGTCTACGGTGTGCTTCCATATGTGGCACCTGAAGTTTTATGTAGTGGAGAATATACAGAGTCATCAGACGTTTATGCCTTTGGTATTATCATGAATGAAATTTTGTCTGGCGTTTCTCCTTTTATAAACGTACCATGTGACAATAGCCTTGCAATAAGAATTTGTAATGGTCTCCGGCCGGAAATACATAAGAATATGCCCAGTCTAGTAACCGAGCTGATAGAAAAATGCTGGGATGCTGAACCGCAGAATCGATTAAGTTCACATGAATTGTGTGAAATTTTACTAGTATGGTGCTATTATATGGTTTGGCCAAATTCCAAACTTGCAAGACAAATTAAGGAAAATGAAAACATTACAGATTATTTAATTATTAATGCAATGCATGGGACACATCAATCCGCAATATATACGAGTCGACTTCTTGACTTTCAAAATCTTCCAAATACAATAAGCTCGACAAAACAAAATCATGGTACTGTAATTAACTTTTATCATTCTTAATTTATAAATTAAATGACCTCATTAATTATTTTTCGATGTATTTTTAGATTCTAAATTCACAAATTTAAGGGTCAAGTCAAATAGTGTTAAAATAATACGAATAAACAAATGATGAAAAATCAATTAATAAAAAATAATGAAGAATTCTAAACAACGAGTATCGTTATACGGTAATGATGGAACTATGAAAATTCGGACGTACGTTATGTCAATAATTGTCTTTTTTATTTATTTAAGATTAAACGGTCCGAGATAATCCAAGATATAAAATTTTTCCTCTTATGTCTCTATAATTAAGATGCAATATACAGTACAATATATGCAATATAGGTGTGCGATGAAGGTGCGATGTAGTCGCAGTTGAGTTGCGGTAATTTTTTTCTATATAATTATATGAAAAAGATCTACCTCGCGTTAAGTTGCGTTAATATTTTTTATATACGTACTGAATAATTTTATTGCTTGTACTGCGCCACAACAATAGTAACTGTTAGGGGTAAATATTGAGCTGGTTAGGCTGCGCGACGCGATTTTCGTGTATTGCGCCTAATCAGATCAATAGTAAAAAAAAAAGAAAAAGACCTTATTAATTGCAAAGAGTTGTAGTAGTCATAAAAAGTCTATAATATTATGAATCACAGGTATGACATCATGGACAAAAGAAAGAGGAGGGTAATAAATAAAAAGGAGAAACGATAAGAAAAAAAGAGTGAAGAAAAAGGAGAGAAGGACGAAGTGGGAAAAAAATAATAATAGAGAAACTATTTCTAAATTAAAATCTTCCTTTTAAGGCTGTACGATAGACGCCGCCCAAAAAGGGAAAACTAATTAAAATATTACCTAATCCAGTACTTGCCACAAGGGAGAAAGGACGATCGAGACCCGGAAAAAAGAGCAAGTGGAAACTCGTCTGGGAAACGCGAGCGATGGAAAGAGAAGGCAAAGAAAGATTAGAGAGAGTACCATCGACCAATTCAAGAAATACACGCCTCAATAGAAGAAAATACTTACCTAACTTTGACGTGACGCGAACCTGCCGGCAGAAGCGACAGGCTTGCCGAAAATCATGTCAACAGGACAATCCAATTAATTTATTATCTCCAGCCTGGTAAATCAGTATCTCTCCAAACCAAAATGACATCATACACCAACTCGGATGGATATTCCTTTGTTCGAACTGTTTGCACTTTTAGCAATGTTAGTAGAACAGGTATTTCTCTAATATTTTAGCTAGCTTTCCGGAGCTATTCATTAGTGACAGCGTTGATATTCAAAAGAGAATGCCTGAATATCACTATTACAGAACCTTATGGTGGGAAAAAGGCGATTTCCATCAAAAAGCAAACTGGGAAGAAGTAACGTAAGTCTCTTCCTTCTTGTTTAATGTTGATATTCGTTTAGTTAGTAGTTGATACAGTATAATTGTTGTTCGTATTGTAACGGGCAAACGGAGAGTCTGTCGCTAATGCAAACAGATATTCGTGTAACCGTTACTGATGATTAAAGACAGACGAATAGGTGATTTGAGGCGTTCGATTTGACCGAGTGATTCTCACTTCTCACACGTACTACTTTATTAATTTAACATTTTTCTCACTCATTTATACATTTCTCACCACTACATAAAATAAATCAAACAGACTAAATATAGAATGATAATAGTAGGTATGATTATATAATGATTACATAATAATCTCTACAATGTCATTGCGTCGCTCGCAGTCATTATATTGACTGGTCGTGCCAGGCCAGGATCAGATATCGCGTAGATCGATCACGTGATATATTACATTATCGTCGTTCGTTATGCGGCGCGTACAATCTTCTATACTCGCATTGTCTTTTCATTGTGCCCTTATTGCTACATTATCGAGGCACCTGGTAGGGTACACGAATATAACTCGTTTTATTTTACCCTTATAGTATATAATATTATCTTATGTGCTTGCTAAAGGGATCGCCATTGAAGATTATGAAGAACGTGTAGAAAAGTTCATATGTTGGGAGTGGTTAAACGGAGAGTTCTTAATCTATTAGTTGCCTTATATGCCACATGAAGTTTGCATCGGTGCAATTGTTAAGCAAATAGTAAAACAATGCGGTAATGTTGATCGAGATTTATGGTTTTGGATCTACTAGTAAGTGTCGATGCTTAACATATTTCTCTGCTTGTGCATGCATCGTATTAATTTTTCGTTCTTAAAGGAACTGCGACAGAAAATGTGGAAAAGAAGCCGATGCATCGTTTCGTCCAAAAAAGTTAGCTGTAACTGTGCAAAACAAGAGCGATGGAAATGTAATTACTGTTCTTTTTGTTGATTTTCAACCTTTTGAAACTAGTAATTTCATATACCTTTTTTCTTAGAGTCTTCCTTGGCCAAATTTGGTCGTGGAAGTAGCTTACACTGAAACATTAGATCACGTCGAAGAAGCATTGCGCTACTGGTTAAATCCTGGTCGTGCTCATGGTTGTATTATTGTAAAAATTGATCCGATTCCCCAAGGTCAAATACCTACCCGTATGAGAGTAAGTTATATATATACAATGTAGCGTGGCTAGCATCATATTATTTGTATAAAATTTTAAAATATTAATTCGTTGTAAGCTTGGCATCACTGTGTCTCAGCAGGTAGAGGAACAAGAAATACGGTTCCTCTTGTAACTAGACTATAATGATTCGTTTTTTCTATTACCATATTAAAAATATCTAATGTATTTATAATGATTATTAGTTGAATTTGGAACACAAGATGGAACCGGAGCTCAATTAAATATTATGCTAGGTCAATGCATCATCGATATCCCATTATGTTGTATTTATCATGACTTGAAGCAATCTACACCCCCGCACCTCCTATTCAAATCCCTCGAAATATTTTACCTGATCCTATTCCACTGGACTTCTATTTTGTTCAACGTGCCATCACAGAAGTATTTGACATACATTAGGACTTTACATAATAATGTGCTACTTTGAAATCCCTCATTTATCGATTTCGCAAATCTACGACATAAAAAAAAAATGCAGTTATTCTTTCTGTGAAATGAGAGCCAGCGTCGTAATGTTGTGATTTTTCACTCTTGTTCGAGCACATTAAAAAATAAATAAATAAATAAATTGCACAAGTGTAATTAAAGTTTAGGTTCACTCAATAAGACTCAATTCACGATGTTCTGGAATAATTATACAGAATATGGATCTTCATATTACCAAACATATTAAAAAAATCCGGTTTTCTTCGAATGATTCTTTCTTGAGTTGATCTTGTGCCTGCCGTCTAATAAAATTATTGGGATATCCTTTTTCTTTTACAGTCTTATAATATTGATACGATGAGGGTATTATTAAGGTGCAATGTATTCGCGGTTGAGTTGTGGTAATTTTTTTCCTTATTACAATCACTCATTGCTTGCATATTCTTTTATTATATCACATAGAATACTATTGTTTAAAACACGTCTCTCATGGCTTTAGTCAAGTGACAAGAATTATATCACACTCTACCCTTTGACACTACGTATACTGTAAATATAGATATTTTAGTTTCGATAGTAATTTATCAAATAATAACAAAACCAAATTATTTTTAATTAAATAAACTATTTATAAATTATTTAATATTTTTTGAAATTTTCTTTGTTTTCTATAATAAATTATTATTAACTTCTATACATGTAATGTAGGATATTAATATAAAATGACAACAAAATATTATTATTTAATAAAATTTCAAAATTTCTTTTGTCTTAATAAAATATCATTATTATGTTAAGCAAAATTAATTTTGTATAATAATAATCATTTGGCCTACTTGATTTGACAGTATTATTGGAAAATTTTAATAATAGAAGAAAAAGGCAAAGAGTTAAATACAAAAATCAAGAAAAAACCTTTGTTGATAATTTTTTATTAAGCTAAATTATAGTTTATATTCCAGTAAACAGTAAAAAACCCATTCAGACTTCTATAACTTTATTGTAATTCAAATGATGAATAAAATAAATCCGAAACAATTTTTTCAAAAATTTCATAAACTTTCCGCATTACTTTTTTTATCATTATTAATATTTTTGAGTATATTTAAGCAACTATGCCAACTATGTTACTGCATTAATATAAAAAGAACAAACATAAATAAAGTTGATGAGAAGTTTTTGGCTAAATTATACTACACCTAATCAATCTCTAATCACAGCTGTGTGAACTCTACCTTGGTTAGCAACAGGCTTTCCGGTTAATAAAGATAATTTAATAGATAATCATAAAATTTGTTATTTTCAAATAGAAATAGGATTATTCCACAGTTGATATTAATGTATCATTCTTATATAAAAACTTGAATAGAATTAGATCCGTAAGCCTATTATTATCTTGTTAATATTTGACCACAAAATTTTTTTGATCGATTTAACGAGCTTACTATTCACGAGATTTTGCTACCATTAGTAGCATAAGTTCAATGATATAATTAACAAAAAGAAATAAATTAGGGTTCAAAGCATAATAGATATTAACTGGGATGTATGCATCTTATGCGATCACAATAAAAGAGAATCTATTGTAACAGGAGATCGGCAAGTCTGTCGCTAATTCTAACAGAAATTCGCGTAACCATTACTAATGATTAAAGATAGAAGGTAAGTGATGAGGTGTGTGAGTTGACCGAGGTCTGTCTTTATTAACTTTTAATTCTTCAATATTTATACAATATTTTTCTTAGATTGCATAAACATATGAAAATCACAAATAATGAAATAAAATAAAGTAAATAACACGTCATGATTACATAATAATTTTCAATGTTTATTGTCCCATTTCGCGGTCATTAATTTGACCGGTCGTGCCTCACGAGTTTCGCCGTTCGTTACATAAGGTCTCTTACACCTGTATTGCTCTTCTATTGCGTCGTCTCAGTTGTCCTGAGCTATATCTCGCGATACCTGATCTAGGTACGCGAGAATAACCCCTTATTTACCCCTTAAATCATAATCAGCATTCTAAATAAACGACTTAATTATCGGGCATACAATATTCCAAAATCAGAAAACTTACTTAATCTGTATGTTATTAAGGTACAAAATTTACTCAAATAATGCATATGCAGCTATCTACATGCTGCACAACCCGCTGCACCAGTAACACCTCCCATGTTTTTAAAAATACAGTAGTATAAATCTCTGATATTTGCGAAAGTCTTAGGCATCAAGCATATTATGCGTAAATAGGGAATGCAGCATATTTTTCTGCTTGCGAATTAAATTATCCTGTTTTATTTGGTCATATTAAGGATGTTACTGTGAATAGTTCGATTTAACTGGGTTCAAGTTCAAAACTACTTAGTTTAACCGGTTTAAAGAAAGAATAATTTTTATCTTACGTAATACATTACAAAATCAATGAAGAATTTATTGGTGTAAATAAATTAATTTATTTATGATCTAGTGATTGGAATTTGTTGAATTGTAAGTTAGGTTCGAACCGCAATTTAAAACCGGTTAACATAACAAAACTTCAATAATGTATTTATAGAACTATAACGGTAACTGGCGTTATGTTGTAACTTTATTTTAAATTATCTTATCACAAATTTTATTGAACTAAAACCAACGGGCTTTTAAAACTAAAACTGGTTACGTGAAACACTAAAGAAAATGATGAGACTATGACACACTAATGCAATAGAAAATCATGAATTATACAATAATACGTACGATACATTTTTTTTTATTTAAAGGGTCGCGATAATTAAAGAAATACTGCAAATATTTCAGAAGTAATGAATTTAAGAAATGCGGCTATAGGTTAGGTTACTAGAGGTTTTGTATTTCTGTTATTTAAAGGGCTTATGATACATTTTTATAGTTTATTTAAAAATTTTTAGAAGGTAAGTTATGTAAATATATTCTTGGTATAATGTTATAGGCAATAAATTAAATAAAACAAAATTTTTGCTAATTTTTACTTGAATTATTATAATTTATAGAAAGTAAGTTAATGATATTAAGTGAATTTTACCGTTTCTCGATTTTTGCATAAAAAGCGTTAAATTACTTGTTAATATTTCAGATAGTAAGTGATAAACATAACGTTTTCGTTATTTAATTTGAGATTTTATTATTTGTTTTTGCAATAATCTTATTTTAATAATTCAATATTATAGCGTGTAAGTAAAACTTCTAGTATACTGTATTATTGCTGTCTATTTTAAGGTTCTAATGGATTTGTTGCTGATTTATAGGGAGTAAGTTAATTATCGATTTCTTAATAATAGTATAAAATAATTTAAATGACGTCTTAATAAAGCTAAACATTTTTTCTTTTTTTGAAAATTTATATGAATGTTATTATTTTGTTTATAATTGACAAACTAGTAGGCGGTAAGTTAAAATAGACATGTATTATTTTTGTTAGGCAAATAATGAAAAGTAATTGTTGACTTTTAGAGTGTAAGTATACGTACAGTAATATCATTTTGATGCTTCACAACTTTCTTAATCAAATTATACACAATAATCCAACCTGACACTTTAGTGGGTATGTCGAGTCTCATTCATCTCATCTATTATTAACTTATACGGTGGATTAATTATGTATTCATAACCGTTAACTTAATAAAATAGTAACAGGTAAGTGTAAAAATTAGAATGGATAATATTCTCATATCTACTGTATTAATCATCGATCTTATAGCGGGTAAGAGAATTTCTTTTACATGAATTAAAGGAATTACACCGTCTCCCAAAAAGAACGCAACACCTGATCGCCGATCTTTAAATGTTAAAATTTTAAGTAGGATAAATCAGATTATAATGAAATTTATACTATAGATAGAATATAAGTA